TTGTAGTTCCTTATTAAGGTGTGCTGTTATAATGTTTAAATCTTTTAAAGTGAGATTCCAAAACATTTTGTCATTTAGTTCTATAATTTTTTTGTTCAATTTCCCTATACATGTTTTAGGTTTAAAGGCTAATTTGAATGCTTGTATAATAGATTATATTTTGATTTTATTAAAATTCCAATTAGAGGTAATACCTATGTTTTTTAGTTTCTTATTAATTTTTTTTCTAATTCTTGTATTTAGTAAGTCTTTTATATTTAGCTTTTATATAGTTGGCCTAATTATAGGTGAGTTATAACTAAGCTTACAATAGACCAAAAAGTGGTTAAAGTTACTAAAGAAAGTTCTGTTTTCTTGTATAATATAATATGCTCATTGTTAAAGAATATATAATTGCTATTATTTAGTTGTTTTTGACCTTTTAATAAGATTATAAAAGATTTTTTGTTTATTAATTTTGCTGTATTAGTAAAGTTTAGCATTAACTGCTCTAGCTTGTTTATAGTAAAGTTATTGTAAGATAAGGCTTGGCTAATTAGGTTATTATCCAAATTCAAATTTATATTAAAATTATATTAATTGCATTATATTTGATAAATAGTGCCTAGTTTTTAAAAAATGTTGCTTTGTTAGCTATATTCAAGTATATAAACATTTGTTATTTAAAAATATATATAATTAAAAGTGAACTCAGCTTTTATAACCTGCCTTTTTGCTAAAGCTTATATGTTTTCTAATTTGATTTTATTACTTTCTGCTAAAATTATAGTTTTTTTTATCTAAAAGAAGTTATATGATTATTACTATTTTAAATATTTTTTATTTTTTTGTATTTATATTTGTTTCTTAAATTAATATAATATTTATATTGTAGTTTTTGAATAAAGTAAAACTTTTGTAATATTTAATATAATTATTAAAATTTTTAACATTCAAGATAGAAATTTTAATGATAGTTTTTTCACTTACTTTTTAATTTTAGTTTTTTATAGAGTTTAATTCTGCTTGTTTCTTCAAATTATTGATTTGTAACTTTTTTTCTTTTGTTGGTTACTTTAGTAAAGCCATTGTTTAACATCTTTTTTTAATTAAAGTTTCTATTTTATTAGTTGTAAAATTATTTAAAAGCTCTTTTATAACTAGAGTTTTTTGTTGTTTAGTACTATTTGTAGTTAAAAGAACAACATTTCTCTTATAGTTATCTTGAATCATTTTTTTAAGCTTTCTTAAGAATTATTAAAGAGGTTTTATTCATATAGTCATCTTCATTATCTTTAATAAACATTTGCATAATAGGTATGTTCTTGTTTTTCTTTTGATTTATTAACTGCTTTAATAAATTCTGTACATTCATTTCTTATATGCCCTTCTTTATTACAGAAGTAGCATAATTTAGAAGTTGATTTTTACTTTATCAGAATTTTCTGGTTCCAAATATAGGTAAATTAAGGAATTCTATTTTCTAAGTTAGAATTATCTGTTGTTTTGAAGACAATAATTCATTAATCAAATAAAAATAAAGGTTCTTTATATATAAAAGGTCTAATAAAAGCAATGTGATCTAGGTCTTGAAAAGCTTCTTTAATTTGGTAAAAAATAATCTCTTTGTTGGCTATAAGCATATTTCATAACTTAATTAACAAAAAAGTTTTATTTAATCTAATAGAAATGTAAATATAGAAGGTTTGATTAAACAAGTAATTTTTTCTGTAACATACTTTCTTATTGTTTGTGCATCTGTAAACACAATTTCTAAGTGTGAGAGTAATTTTTTAATTAAGTGCAATTTAATGTTCACTATATTAGAACTTATTTTACTATGCAGTATAGTCAATATTTTATTAACTAATATGTTTTTAAGAACTTAAATATCAAAAATTAGTGCATTATTATTTTTGGTTTTAATACTAGCTTAAGATAAAAACATTTATAAATAACTTGTCTTCTAGATAGTTTGAAAAAAAGGCTAAACTATTATTTAGTTTTTGAGAGTTTTTTTAAATTTGTTTCTTTTTTTAGTTTTAACATTTTCTAAAATATTATTAGTAAACTTTGATAAAAGAATTAGTTGCATATTATTTAATTCTACTTTGTATAATTTTCTAAAACTTTTTATCAAAAGGTCTATGTTATTTTCTACCCAATTACATGTAAGATAACTTTGGTATAGATTTACTTATAGAGGTAATCTTTCTTTATTATATTCATACTCTAACTCTTCTGACCAGTTTGTGTCTTATGTATTCATTTTTCTAGAAGTTCAGTTATTACTATAGAGTTTGTTTAAAGACCTTACTATCATTATACTATTTATATTTTTGTTTTCTATGTTTTAAGAGTTTATTTTAAACTGTTTGACTTTAATTTCTCTAATTATAATTTACACAGTCTTGTGACTTTAAGATATAAGGATATATACTTCTGTTTTTATTAGTTTTGATCTTTGTAAGTTGATGATTTCAAATTTAAGTTTTGCTTTTCAAACACTAGCATCAGAAGACAGCAAAGTAACTTGTATTTAGTAATTTTAAAAGGCTTATCATTATAAAATTAAAGGTAAGGATGATGTAAATTATTTTTAATAGTAATTATATAACAAATTATATGATATCATATGATTTATATATAAAATTTTGGTTATATTACATAAATTTTCTATATAATTCTTGTGTGTTCTAGGAAACTTATAAGTAAATCCAAAAAAACTTAGTAATATATAAAATAATTTTTTTTAAACCAAAATAAATTATAAAATTTTATTAAAATCATTAGAAGTTTTAGATTTATATGTTATTAAATTTTGGTAACAATTGAATATAATACTAAAAAGTTTTATTAATAATATTTTTTTTTATAAATAAAACTTTATTTGCTAGGAAAATTATATGACAAATGATCTATGTCACAACTACCCTTAAAATTGAATATATAAAAACAATTTGATCGTATTTGGTTATAAATTATTTTTTATATAACATGATAAAGTGTGCAAATTAAAAGTTTAAACAGCCTATCGACATCTAATAAGATGTACTGTAAAAGAGTACCAATTTTTTTAATAAAGTGTAGCCTATACAAATTTGGATTATTTTTTTAAAAAAACTTATAAAATAGAAATAAAAAAATGGGTAAGAACGATATTTCCGGCATTACTTCGTTTTTAGTTATTAATTCAAACTGTCAAAATATTAGATAAATTCAAAGATTAATGTAATGTAACAAAATAAATTTCCCGAATATTTTTCTTTATGATTTTAGTCGTGACTGTTCAATCAAACGTGCTGTGAAAATTTGAAATCACGAATAAATGATATGGAAGAAAGGAGAATTCAGCCCTTTGAGTTATCTTCATTCAAAAGAGGTAGAATTAAGTAAAAAAAAAGTACCGATATATTGTTTGCTTTTCTTAAAGTAATTATAATATACTAGTGAATTATTTATGTGGTATTCGTTATATTAATTTTAAAAGGTTTTTTATATAAATATTTGTTTAGTTAATATCAAAAACAACTTTTGAATTTATAAGTTATTTTTTTTTTGATAGTTTATGACAGACAAGTCTTACTCTGGAAATATAATCAGACGGTGATTAAAATTAGTGACTTAACCTGTCACAGATTATAAATCATTTAAACACTAATAAAAATTTTTGTTCACCGATGCACTGAAGTTAGTTAGCCATGTCGCGTACTCAAAAATTCCGTGGCATGTTCGTAATGCAGGAAAGTTCATTAATGTTAAGGTTAGCGTTTAGAACAACATTCACGTGCTTATAGACGCAGCAATAATCAACATTACTAAAAATACACTTTCCCTAACGTTAACTTTAACCTTAACTCGGGTCTACATAATTATTGAACACGGACGTAAGGACATGCCCTGGGATCAGTTATATATTAACAGTCATATATTAACAGGTGTGACATATTCACTGACTGAAAATTCTTGGGGTTAGGATCGATTTTCAGTTTACATGATTTCCAAGATCCATTAACCAATTAAAAATCAGAATCGCATTTATCACAAAAATTATACTAGTCAATCGCCTTTTGGGTTCTAACAAAAAAAAATCCATCATGTAATTTTACTATGAAAGTACTTAACATATACCCGAACCCTAACGTATGTGAATTTTTTTGTTTGAAGACAAGACTTCGTACGATCATGTGAACGGAAATCAATCCTCTGCCCTGTCAATTTCGGTGGACTATATATATATCTTTATAGTAAAGCAAAGCTTGGTGATTAAAAATTTGTCAGTAGCGAATAACTCCGTAACAACGGTGTTGAGTGGAATCGTCAATGTAATGACGTACAACATACATATATCGCGAGTAGTGAAACCAGCTCCCTACATTTTTTATGATATTCATTGTACTGACTCTTATAGGTATTCCTCCAACATGTATTAATGATAGATCGTTGTTTTTTTTTTGGATTTGTATCACTTGCAGAAATAAACACGCGTTTGTGCAACAAGATGATCATCATATGACATGCAACGGGTATATAATGCGTTGTTATTGTAAATTGTATTTTATTCTCGTATTGTAATAAATAACTGTCGGAACCATTTAAAAGACAAATTATAAACGGCTTTTTTTTAAAAGATACTAAGGAAAACTTAATAAGGTGCGATTTTGTTTCTTGTATAGTAAAGTGCTGAAGTTAGAGCAACTCTTGATTGTGTAGCGTTCAGTGTTGTTACCTGGAAGCCACTGGAACTTACTGGAACTCCGTTGAAAGATAAGTTAATGTCGTGGCTAAATCTAGAAATGGCTGAAGTTGGAAATTAGGAACTTCGTTTTGAAAATATAACACTAAATCCTAACCTAAAAAAAGAGTTTGAACATTTCATGTTAAAGTATTTAAAATTTCCAGTTTCAGCCATTCCCAGCTTCAGTCACGACAATTAATAAACCACTAAAACTTTTACTATTGTAGATTTACACTGGAATATTACAACACTTGCTGCCTGATCAAGAGAATTACTGAGTTTGTCAAACCTGGTAACCATTCCATGGTCTCAAATTCAGGCGCTCTAACTTTGTTATTTTTGAGTCTGCTGGTTCTGAAGGAAGAGCTGGCTATGTGTTTTCTTTTACACTTAATAAAAAGAAGTGGCGCATTACTAACTCTTTTTATTATTTTGAAAGGACTCTGGTATCGGAATTAACAAACATCTTTTAACCATATTAATGAATGGAAGAAAATTCGTATCCAAAGTCATTAAGGTGATTCAATAATAATGCATTTCTAAACAAAAATAGGGTTTTTGTAAATTAGTCAAAAATACTAATAGATTATTATTCCTGACGGATCTAGAATGTGTGAGATTTTCCCGATAATGTATACTGTAGTTCGGTAAATCGGCGAGTCTGTCACTAATTCCTTCCAATTCTCGTGTAACCTACGGCGGCTAAGTCGAAATAAGTGTGTTAGATTTGGCTAGTTGGTTTATCCGTAGGTAAGTACTAATCTCCTCTTCTAAGTCTTTCCCTCAACCTATTCTTCTATTAACCCTTGCTTTCTCTTATCTTCCTTCTACTTCCTTAACCTGGAGTTACGATACGTCGAATCGGGTTGGAGTTTTTCTCTTGCACTAACGACTTGGTCACGTGAATTACGGCGAACGATCAAAATGCGGTTTTAGTGGATTACAAATGGGCGAACGATAGTTGATAATGATGGTTTTAACGATAGTTTTTAGTTTGGGTTGGGTTATAGTTTTACTTTTACTATGGGTCCGATACTTAAGTTTATTATGCAAAAATGTATTTACTTGGGGTATCGCTGTTACTTCCCCCCTGGGCGGAAAGCCCTTTATTTATAATAAAACTTTTATTTACATTCGAGGTTAATTTACTCTACATTATCTATTTACATGATATCATCATTAAGACCCTTATCTCCACTATAATAAAGAAAAACTGAATGTTTTATATGCCGTCGATCTACCCGAAGTAATAAAAGTAAGAAAAGTAAGATTTTTCTTACTTTTCATGTGACCAATTACTCGGGTAGGCGACGGGACCTAAATGCATCGATCGATCACGTGTCTGTGTGACCGTGATAACTGTTACCGATTCTGGGGCTCACAATACTTAACTCTCTGACCTAATAACGAAATTATTAGAATTATAATTGCATTAGTACTAGGTAAATACTTTTTTTTTATTATAGTTTGTAACTTTAACAGTGAACAATTCATGATTCCAGCATGAAAATTTGTGATTTCCGTAATGGACAGTTCGAAACTTTAACAGTAAATAGTGGATGATTTGTGGCTTCAATAGTAGATTGTTCATGATTTCAAATGCGAACTTTTAATATTTTAAATTTTTTTTTTAAAAAAAAAATAAAATTGTTTTGAAAGCTTTTTTTTTAATTTATTCAATTTAATTTATTTGATTTTTTTATTTCAAAAATAGTTAATTTGTGACTTCAACAGTGGATGCCTTGTGACTTTAATGATGAATGGTTCGTAATCATTTAATATAAAGAATTCTACATACGGCTTAATAAATATGTATATTTAAACTGAAAAATTCATACAATAACAGAAAACCCAAACAGTAATCGTCGATTTTCAGATTTTGCAATCCACTGTTAATACCTAAACTTGATTTAGTAAAGGAAATAAACTTGCTTCTACGACTAAACACCTCTATATATGAGTTATCAACATTCTCAAGTATTATTTTGAATTTTTTCAATTCTGATAAAATATTTTTGTCATTTTGCCATTTCATAAAGATTTCACAGATTTTTTCGGCTGATGGTCGTTTTTCAGGTTCTTTATCCCAACATTCATTCATCAGATTTACATAGCATCTTGGAGCTTCTTCGTTAACAGGTGGTCGTAAATAACCATAACATATTTTTGATTGAAGCTGCTGTTCGGTAAACTTATTAACATATGATACAGGCATTCCAAATAAGATTTCCTACATTATTATTCCAAATGAATAAATATCTGATTTTTTAGTATATCGTTGACCAATTAGAATTTCTGGGGCAATATATGGTAGAACTCCGAAAATTCCGCCTTTCTTTGGTTCAGAATTCGAATTTGATAGTCCTAGATCAGAGATATATGCGTTGCGTAAGTCATTTTGTAAAATATTTCCACTGTGCAAATCTCGATGAATATATCCTTGAGAATGAATTGCATCAAGGTTAGAACTAATATAATATAATAGTTTTAACTTATATTTCCATTTCATTCGAGATACATCTTGAAGATTATTTCGTAAAGATCCCTTTGATGCATATTTTAAGACAAGAATAAATTCTTTGGTGTCCGGTCGTTGTTATTCCATGACATTTTAGAAATGAAGAATTTTCGTATCCAATTTTACTATATGCTTTCAACTATTGAATAAAATTGAATAGAACTGAATAGTTGAAATAATAGAAATTACCTCATTTATAAATTCATCATAATTTGTTTTATGCAGCGATTTAAGAGCAATTTTCGATTTTATGAAAAGATTGCGGGACCAATCAGCACGATATACCGTTGAAAATCCACCTTTACCAATTTCTTTGATATTTTTGAATTCATCGTATGGAATCCATAATAATTAATGATGATTTTCATCGTTCAATATTTCTTTTAAATCATCATTAAAATCATTTAGCGTAAATTTTTTTCGTCCCCTATTTATATAATTTAGTAATCTTGTGTTAAATATAAACATATTTATTTAGATATCACTTACATTCGATACCAATGATTAGCAAGTTGTAAATCTCTAGTTACTCCGTTTCCAAATAGATAACGGAAGTATACATTACGTATTCCATCGGCACCACCCATCTTTGCGGATTTCATAAGCCATTTAAACGCTTCATTTTCATCTTTTTCAACTCCAATTCCATCTTTATAACAGTTACCAAGTGCGAATATTCCATCAGAATATCCCATCTCAGCAGATTTTTGATAATAAATGAATGCCTTATGTTCATCCTTTCTAACTCCAACTCCATTTTCGTAACAATATCCAACACTACACGTTCCATTAGCATCACCCATCTCTGCAGATTTTTGATAATAAATGAATGCCTTATGTTCATTCTTCTCAACTCCAATTCCATTTTGATAACAATATCCAACATTATATGTTCCACTGGCATTCCCCATCTCTGCAGATTTTTGATAATAAATAAATGCCTTATGTTCATTCTTCTCAACTCCAATTCCATTTTGATAACAATATCCAACATTGTATGTTCCATCAGCATCCCCCATCTCTGCAGATTTTTGATAATAAATGAATGCCTTAGGTTTATCCTTTTCAACCCCTATCCCATGTTGATAATTGTATCCAAGGTCATAAGGGTCTAAATTAGTTGATTTTTTATAATGACTCGATTATTATGATCCATTTTACTTTAAATATGAGAAAAAAAAACGGAAATCTAATTGAATTGTTTAATCATTTAAATGTAAATGTAAATGCAGAGCATTACTACTTTAGAGTTTGCATCGCTGTCCAGTGTTACAACTTCTTCCGATCTCAAACTTTAATTCTAGGTACGTACGTATGTACGGTGCAGGAAATCTAAAAACCTAAATCACTTTATATAGAATAAAAAACGCCCCAGCACATTAAAATTTTAAGTTTCAGTCGCATACATAAAGCAATATCTATTAAGTACATATTATTCTTGCATATTATTTCTATGCCCATAATACTATTGAGATTGAAATTACTTTCAATGAGTTCTAGTTTCTGCACTATATATACGTATATACGTACGTGTATCAATTTTGCGTTACTCAACTTTCTTGTTATGTCTCATAGATCCTGGTTAAATGAGATTTATAAATCGGAGTTTGCTTTACGTAAAGTCGTTTAGAAATAATAATTTTATTGGTCTTGACTGCAAGACATAGTTTTTTTTTTTTAAATAAGAAAATAGCTTCTTAATTCATTTTTTAAATTTGGTTTAAATTCTCTTTAATTTTGTTTTTTTTTTTTAAAAAAAAAATGCACATGTGGGCGGCTTTTTCATCCAGTTTCAGTTATGATATCATTACACTACTAATTTTTGGTAATGTAATGTTTTTACTGAGATTAAAATTAAATTTACTCCTTTTAGATAAAACAAACCTAACACAATAAAAATATGTAAATAAAGACCCCGTTTCGCTCTGCCTATTGTCGAACTTTATGCTATATATATATGGTTTTTTTTATATAATACCATTATTTTTTATAAATTCTAGGATAATAGAAAAAATTGGCGATGAAGTTGGTTAATGTTAAACAGCCAATAATTCTGACTCAGTAGCCTTCGATTTGATTATTAAAAAATTTTCAACTGTCTTAGACTTCATGAAGGCAACTATAGTGATTTTTTTATTTTTCAGTCTCTCAGCGACCCTAGCATAATTACAAGATCAGTTACGCAATCAGTATTTACCATTTTTGTTACAAAATTCTATGGTTAATATCAAATGTGAAATCGATCAAATAAAGAGTAAAAAATGCATTCGAAAAAAAGGTCTGAAGAAATTTATTGTAAAAAGTAATTTGCAAGCTTTAATTTATTTATATCATTTTTAATATTACTCTATTGTAGAAAATCAAAAATTTTCAGTATTATGTGTTTGAAAATGCATGTTCAATGATTTTATATGAATATATAGTACAGTTAATAATTTATAATTATAATATAATATGAAATGTTCAAACTCTTTTTTTAGGTTAGGATTTAGTGTTATATTTTCAAAACGAGATTTCTAATTTCCAACTTCAGCCATTTCTAGATTTAGACACGACATTAACTTATCTTTCAACAGAGTTCCAGTAAGTTCCAATGGCTTCCAGGTAACAACACTGAACACTACACAATTAAGAGTTGCTTTCACTTTACTATACAAGAAACAAAATTGCACCTTATTAAGGTTTTCTTAGCAAGGGGTGTGGTGACTTAGTGAAGTGGTTAAGTTGTCAACCCTCCAAGTGATAGGTATTGAATTCAAATCCCACTGATGGTAAAAATTTGGATAATCACCTATGTAATATATAGATGGTATTATGGTGATGGCATTCTGTTGATCAGTTGTAATAAGATACTTGTAACATGGTCACATCAACATGACTGGCAGGTCATGAGACATCTGCACAATGTTGGAGTTACACAAAAAATGCTAGCCAGCATTGAGCAGTGTAAACCCAAGATAAGTTCTTGTAGTTGTATAAATCTGTAAACTGGAAAGTTGGAGCCTATTTGAGAAGACCCAAGTAGAGAGATAGCACAGATCTTTGACACTACTACTATAAAGACTAGATCTAAGAAATAGATACTAATGTAAAAGAAATTAGATAGACAAGAAACTCAAATGAGGGGTATTACCAATCAGGTTATCAAAAGTCTTGAACTAGAGAAAAAGGATCTTAGGAGACAGATTCTAAGATACTAAGGACAAGTCATAGTCTTAATAGACTATCTGGATTAGAAGTCTAAGGTTGAAAACAGGGATATATTACAAGTACTAAGAATATGCTATGAAATTGGTATTGAGGTCTGAGTAAACTCTGCAAAAGTGAACCCTATTAACAATAGACTAAATGTGGATAGTTAGTTAGCAGGTGGACCTTCTAAAGCCTTACAATCAAGTAACATATTTTGAAATATGTAATGACTTGACAGATGTATAGATAAAAAAGTAAAAATTAGGTTAGATGACATTTTAAAGTACAGGAACTTGTGTGTTATTTGTTAGTGTAAGTATAAGGATCAAAGTGTTTAAATAGATAATCTTCTAGTAGATTACAGATATGACAGCTAGTGTAGAACCTGCTGTGTAGGCAGACTACTTAAAATAGACAATCAAAAATTGTATGTGTGACTAGTTATATACTTACCTTGTATAAGTTATGTAATCATAATTAAAATACAATAAAGGCAATAGCCACTGATAGAGATGGGTAAATTGTAATTTTTTAAAAAATCCTGTGTGTCACATATGGGATCTACATGAAATTTGTATCCTATATGAGATTCATTAAATTTAGGTGTTATGTTATTGAACCTCAATTTTGATTTTCCAACAGCTGTGATCAACAAAATTTTGATTGCATTATACATAATTTTAGCTTAAAGTTTGGATCTGTGTAATGGTAAAATTAATATAGAAATATATTTCACTTAGAGTTAAAATTACATTTTACAAATTTACAATACATATAATTTCACATAAGTTTTAGTAATATAGATTTTATGTAATTTCATGAGATATATAGTACCTAAAGATGGGCAAATTGCAATTTCTCTAAAAATTCTGTACAAGATTCATTAAACCACAAAATTTTAAACCCTAATTTCATTTAATAAGTGGCTATGATTTCTTTACTAAAAATTCAAGTAATTTAGTCTAAACTTTTAGTCATTGCTATTGGTCAATCAAAATAGTGAATTTTCACATATTTTTTGTAAAGTTTAATAGCAGTAATTACATTAAGCATGTTCTTGGTTAAAGGTTTCATCTGATCCAATTTTTGTAAGATGATTCTAAATATTATTATTACTACACATTTTATTTATTTTTAAAAGAGTGACTTAATGATAAAGAATATTTTTATAATTTAAGCAAAAGATACCAATAGCAAAGAAGGTAAATTCTTATTATATATATAAATAAACATATGTGTGAAATGGTATACAAATAAATAAATAAATTTTAATTAGGAATTAGCTAAATATGTTAATGCAGGTCAGATATTATATTAATTCTAGTCAGATATTATGGTAATGCCGGCCGAATAATCTTATTTCGGGATCATATTAAAAATCCCATCTCAATATCTAACATATCTGACATTCGGGATCTACGGCACGTGATATCGGTCACGTTTTTCGAATTTCACAATATCAACAAACACAAGATTACACAATACATATCACTAAAACTTTGATGCTACACGACTGATCCTTCACCCGGTGTGCAACTTATGAAAAATTATTTTACAATGCCAGATATTTCGCTAATACATGCTATGATTATAATAAAAATGGAGTTGGACTATAATCATAGCATGTACTATCGGAATGATCTGGTATTGTAAAATAATTTTTCATAAGTTGCACACCAGATGAAGGATCAATCGACGTTTCCTCTTTTTATTTCGTAGTGGTTCATCTTTTTTTTTTATCAGCTAGGGCCATCGTCTGGACCAGGACTGAAAATCATTCGATATCGGTCCGGTACTGCCCGATCCTGGTCTTTACGAAGACCATTCCTTAAATTTCTACTCTATCGTAAGAGATTCACAAGTTTAATCAATTTGACAAGGCGAACAATACTTTGAAATTGATTGCATGGTATATATTTTTACAATATTAGAGTTCGTCATTACAATTGGATCCTCAATACAAATCTAGTAATACTATGTTTCTGTTTTAGGCTCGACTATGTCGCGCAGAGAATCTAATTGTTAATAAATTTGACATATGATTCATGATTTCAAAGTTTCATTGGCCAAGAATATTGTTGCGCGGCAAATCGGCGAGTCTGTCGCTAATTCCTTCCAATCCTCGTGTAACCTACGGCGGCTAAGTCGAAATAGGCGTGTTAGATTTGGCTGGGTGGTTTATCCGTAGGTAAGTACTACTCTTCTCTGTTGAGTCTTTCCTTTAACCTATTCTTCTATTAACCCTTGCCTTCTCTTGTCCTCTCTTTACTTCCTTAACTTGGGGTTACGATACGTCGAATCGGAGTTGGAATTCTTCTCTTGCGTTAACGACTTGGTCACGTGATTTACGACGAAAGATCAAAATGCGGTTTAGTGATTTACGGGCGAACGACAGTTGGATACGGATTGTTTTTAGTTTGGGTTGGATTATAGTTTTCTTTTAATATGGGTCCGATACTTTAGTTTTATTTAAGCAAATGTATTTACTTGGGGTATCGCTTGTTACTTTCCCCCTGGGCGGAAAGCCCTTTATTTATAATAAACTGTCTTGTCTATTTACATCATAGATTTATCTAATATATCGAACATGTTTAATATATCGAATTTTGTCGAATTTATTATATATATCGCATCTATTTGAGATACCACACTTATCTGACATACCTGACATTTCTGACATTCGGGTACTATGCCACGTGATATTGGTCACGTTTTCGGACCTCACAATATCAACGAAAACATATTATATATATGAAATTTTATATTCATATCGATAGTGATATTAATTAGTGATATTAATGAATATTAATGAATATTAATGAGGATCGTATTAAAGTTGATATATGAGAGATTTATATTAAGAGATTGACATTAACGAGGACCAACTGTATAATACTTTTTACATTATCCGCAACTAACCTAATGTTTGTATTTCATTATTGTAACCGCTTTGCCTTGATTATTAGATATAACTAGAGATTGCACATATGACTGTCTTTGCCGCCCAGTTAATATTACTTTAGGTTAAGATTACTATAGTATTGTGTGAGCAAATGTATAACTTAATAAAATAATGCTACACCAATTACTACCCATAATTACTATTGCGTTGTGAAATGATTTGATGTAAACTATTATTGTTTAGGTTGAAGGTATTTTTCTGTTGATTACACCTTTTGAACTGGATGTAGATACAGTTGGCATAAATTATTTTAAATATAATTACAAATCAACCGTATCGTACGACTCAATTGGGTTAATTAAAAACAATATACAGTACCTCTGCATTGTATAAATTAAAAAATAAAGTTGGTCTATTTTTGTAAAAGATAATCGTAAATGTATACTATAAATAACAATGAAAAAAACTTTATTTGACAATATTTCATTGAGTATGAGTCAGACAGATAAAGAACTCCGTGAACTTGGATGGAAATATCAAAATGGCATTGAAGTCGAGAAAGACGAGCATAATACTATCAAAAATCTGCTGAGATGGGAGACGTTAGTGGAACATTTAATGTTGGATATTGTTATGACAAAGGAATTGGAGTTGAAAAGGATGAACATAAGGCATTCATTTATTATCAAAAATCTGCTGAGATGGGTGACGTTAGTGGAACAAATAGCGTTGGATATTGTTATTTAAATGGGAATGGAGTCGAAAAGGATGAACATAAGGCATTCATTTATCATCAAAAATCTGCTGAGATGGGAGACGTTAGTGGAACATTTAATATTGGGTATTGTTATCAAAATGGGATTGGAGTTGAAAAGGATGAACATAAGGCATTCATTTATTATCAAAAATCTGCTGAGATGGGAGACGTTAGTGGAATATTTAATGTTGGATATTGTTATGGCGAAGGAATTGGAGTTGAAAAGAATGAACATAAGGCATTCATTTATTATCAAAAATCTGCTGAGATGGGAGACGCTAGTGGAACATATAATGTTGGGTATTGTTATCAAAATGGGATTGGAATTAAAAAGGATGAACATAAGGTATTCATTTATTTTAAGAAATCTGCTGATATGGGTCATGCTGGCGGAATGAATAATGTTGGTGAATGTTATAAATTTGGAGAAGGGGTTAAAAAAGATGAAAATATGGCATTTTTTTATTTTCAAAAAGCTGCTGAAAAGGGGATTTTTGATGCGATTTTTAATCTTGGAGAATGTTATCAGAATGAAATTGGTGTCAAAAAGGATTTAAAGAAGGCCTTTGAATTGTATTTGGAATCTGCTAAGCTTGGTTCAGTTGACGGAATAAGAAGTGTTGGATATTGTTATCGAAATGGTATTGGAACAAAAAAGTATTTAAAAGAAGCCGAGTATTGGTTTAGGATGTAAGTTCTATTTATTTATTTATTATTATTTATTTTATTTTTTTTTAGAATAAATATTTAAAAATTATTAATATAGCGAGAAAAATAAATTTCAAGGTATTTGTTTGATTTGGTTTTATAGTAATTTTCTAAATTTAATACTGTATTTCTTAATTTAATAATAAATAGAAATAGAGAAATTTTCATATTCTGATATCGATGATAACGTAAAAAAAATATTGGATGATGAAAAGTACCAATTATTATGGATTCCATATAACAAATTTGAAAATGTTGAAGAGATTGGGAGGGGTGGATATGCAACTGTTTACCATGCTAAATGTCTAGTTCATCATAAGGATACTTATAGAAAACATTCGTTCGCAATAAAAAAAATTCATGATCAAGATTTTTTTGACGAGGTAAATTTATTGAGTTTTGTTTAAAATATTTGAATTTGACTGATACTGTATTTACTTTCAAAGTTAAAAGCTTTTTGCGAGATCGGATATAAATATCCATCCTTCTTAAAATGCTATGGATTATCGAGAGATGATTCAGGAAATTATCTTCTTATTTTGAAATATGCAGAAAGGGGTTCATTACGTAATAATCTTCACAAAGTATCGCAAATGAAATGGATAGAAAAATTAAATTTATTAAGTTGCATAACATCTGATCTTGAAGCGATTCATTCGCAAGGGTTAGAACATCGAGATTTTCATAGCGGAAACATTTTGCAAGACGAATTAGATAACGCGTATATTATCGATTTGGGACTTTCTAATACAAAGGATGTGTGTGAAAAAGGAATAAATGGAGTTTTGCCTTATGTCGCACCGGAAGTTTTACAAGAAAAAACTTATACTCAAGCAGTTGATATTTATGCTTTGGGCATCATTATGACAGAAATATCAACTGGAAGAAAGGCTTTCGATGATTATAAATTTGGTGACCTTAAACTTGCGATAAAAATTTGCCAAGGATTACGACCAGAATTTACATCTGGTACACCAGATCGTTATATTAAATTAGCCAAGCGATGCATGGATTCAACCCCGAAAAAACGACCTACTATCCGATATGTTAATGCACTGATTACTACATGGATTGAAGAAATAGAGAGCTCTGACGATGAAAATAAAATAAAAAAGCAATTTTTAGAAGCTGATAAAATTGTACCTAATTTTGACCTTGAATCACCAAATCATTCGAATATGATCTATATCAGTAAACCTATCGATGTACAAGAAATATCAAAAAGATTATCTGAATGAAATTCCTGACGAATCATAAAAAGGTATATAGTAAAGTTGTATAGTCTATATTACTACATTGTAAGTCATACTGCTTTCAAAAAAATTTTGGATTCACAGTATTCAGATGTAAGTATGATAGCTTATAATTATTAATTGAAGATTGTTAAGTTTGTAATATTTTTAATTATTATTTGTTGGGTAAAGATATAATAAATCAGATGCATTTAAAATTGTTATTTCTTGGGTAAAGATATAATAAATCAGATGCATTTAAAATTGTTATTTCTTGGCAAAGAAATTATCAAGTTGGGTGTACTTAAAATTACTATTTGCTATACATAGACATTATTAGCTTGGCTACTTTTAAAATGTTGAAAATGCTATTTACTGCAAAATGTGATATTTTATTTAAATCAAATTAGTTATTGAAAAAATCTTTAGTTTTCAATCGGCTCGTGATATGTTGTATACTTTTCGTTCTATACGATTTTTTTTTCTTTACGACGTTTAATAATTGGTTATGATTATTGCTTGGTGCTTGCATTGTTTCTTATTGATTGAATTGTTCTCTCTTTTTTACTCGTCACTCGCATAGTTTATTCTCCTTTATTCATTGACCATATTATTCTTTATTTCTTGCTTGCAGTATTGGTCGTTCAGATGTTGTGTTGTTCGTTCTATCTTCACTCTTGTTATTGGTTGTGCTAATGTTCTGGTGCCCTCTTCAAAGGAATTAATCATCATGCGCCTGAATTATCAATCGTTAAAGTTTTATTTAACATTCAAGAGAGGATTATATTAAAATTACTGCTCAACAATAAATCTTATTCGACATATCCTATGTGAACAGTGGACTTTTTTGTGTAAGTTATTCGGTCACCTATTACAAATACACAAATTTTCGAATTTCCTTATGTCAAGAAAATCCCGAGATGCCGGCCAAAAAGATATAGGTCGTAGTATAACAAAAATTCTTTATATATCTAACATTAACAATCATGTCTTATAAGTAATATTTCATTCTGAAAACTTTTACTTAGAGGTCGGAAGTTATTCATCATAGTAAAATTTTGTTTTTTACAATTTATGTTTTTCGCGTTTGTTTTGTTACACGAGATCCCGTGATCTTCAGCTCGGGATTTTCTTGACATAAGGGTATTACAAATTTTCACTCACCTCTTAAGAGGTGATGAAATTTGTGTATTTGTATTAGGATAACTTACTCAAAAATTGTTCACTGTACACATAAGACATATCGGATAACTTAGTTATCAGTCGAGTCTTAATATTGATAACTGATTTTTTCATAGTACCATATAGTCCTATATACTAATTATTATAATAAAAACCGGTAGTACAGATTTTATGCATAGATCGGCAAAATCGTTAAATTTACTAGCGAAGATTAAGGTAGCTGCGTGACGTTGTCATGCAAAACCAGAAACGGAAGACGTGAAGAGTATCGGTATTGCATTTAGTAAATATATAGATTGTTGCACTATTGGGCATGTTATGCATGGTGGCAAAGGACAAATAAATTTTTAGGATCATATGGCCAAAATGATAAAAAAAAAAAAAAATCGGAAAATTAATTTTTATATTATAAATCTTATAATAAATCATTATAAAATGCAGATTTTAAAGAGCTATACTGCAAAAATTTTTTAATACGACTACTTTAGTATCTTAAGCGAAAAAATGATCTTAATTTTTATTCTAAATTGATTTATGTAAAAAAAAAAAAAACTCTTGAAAAAATTGTCATTTTCGGCCCTTTCCCCACCACCTAGCCCACATATAACGTGACATGATCAGAAAGATCCAAAGCAAAAGTTCGTTTTGTCAAAGTGTTTACTTTGTCAAAAATTTATTCAATAAAAAAATTTTCCAAATGATTTAAATCCGAATATTAGTCTTTATATTAATGAGTTTTAAAGAATTTTGCATTACTTGTATGTAGTGTGAACAGTAGGATGGTAATGCCGGAAGCTCGTTTAAGCAGGTGATCGGTGTGGCGCAGTAACGAATAAACGGCTA